CTTTGTCCCTGATTTACAGTTTTCATCAACTATTAATGTACACCTTGAAGCAGCTAGTCCCGTGGCCGTGGGTGCAACATTTGGCGACCACGAAGGGATAGGTGTTTTGTCTCTGCATTGATGTGTAGAGTCAATGGCATGCACCTGTCCAGTGACCAATACACCAATCATTAATACGTGTTTGCTAATGTGACATGCGGATCTTATGGGAAATTATATTCGTGGCCAAGCTATACATGTACTGTGAATCGCTCGTGTTAATTCTTTTTATGGCCTCAAGTCACGCGAGAGATATTATGGTGTTGGTACCGTCAACGAGTTCGAGAGAACGAACCCGCGGTGAGCAGAAATACTTGAACCCATGACCGTGGGTCGAGAGACCCGTTTCAGGACGCGGTACATACGCAATAAGTTTTCTTTCCATGCATGGTTACTAGCGGGTGTGTATGGAGTGTTATGAAAGAACAGTGACATTAGAAAAAATTCCCCATAAACGACCTAGCGCCCAAGAAACTAAAGAAAAGGTGTTCTTGAATCCACACCGTCGGCTTAAAGAAGAACCTCTACTCGGTCAGATATGTTAAGTTTGTTCCACGTAGGCCTTTGGCGGCAAAGTCATCTAGACCCTAGTCTCGATTTGGTACAAAGGGGTCATAGAGGAAATTGGAGTTTTAACAAAGAACTTAACGCATGCACTTGTCTTGTCATAAAGGTACGTTATTCTCCGCGAGACATGGGCAGTGCAAAGAATAAAGATTGAGGGCAGCGACCTGTAACTTTAAAAATCAGATTTGTATATAATATATAATTAGCTGGATCAATTACCATTGTAGGGGACTTTCCCCGTACTCCTTTTGCTTCGAAAACTTTGGTTATATATAGATTATGTAGTCTTCAGCACTTTAACTAAAATTATGTCTCGGACCGTTATCTTACATATCAGTTCGAAGTTCTGAATCATCCAGAAGATAGCTCCTACATATTTTTAAAATCATCACGCAGTTTACAAACTGACTGCTTTGCAGGTAAACTTTAATCTTTCATGCTTGCAGATTGAAAACGTGTTGCAAAAATGAAACAAGAAGAAAAAGAAAAACCGAAAGGCCAGATAATTTTAAAATAGGCCCTTCGTAGTCGGCGTTTTTATGTAAATAAAGAGATGTTTACCGAAAGAATTCTAAATAATGCATAAGCGTGGATGTGGTACGGAAATGTATTTCTCTTCGTGCTTTAAAACACTATCCGGGTTTCATATATAGCCCATACGCTCACTGCAAGGAGGAGTTATTCTTCGTTTTTAAAATGCTTTGTTGAACACAACACTTCCTATAAATTAAAGAGCAACTGTCGATGTATAAACAAACAATCAAACAAACGGAGTTGTCTTAGCAAGAAAGTTCTTTAATTGGAGAAGTGAGCTTGTTATGTCTTGTATTATGCTTCATTTCTACCGTGAGGGACCTAAAAGAAATCTTTATAATGCGCTGTTGACCCGTTGAGTTCTCAGCTAGGAGAAAGGTTGGATCGATTTGGCTGTATCGAAACTTCGAAAATGTATGTTTTTTGCAATACAAGCCAAGAGGCCAAGATTTTATTTTGAGACAGCTGAGGCTTTCGGGGCATAATCCATTCCCCAAGCAATGAGAGGTAAAAGGGTTTAAACTAGGACCTGCCCATTCAATGTTCGCGAACTGTCATAAAAGGAAACAAATGCCATTTTACTTGATATTTATTTCGGCGAAGAAACCACCACTACTCATATCTTGGAATAAGACGGAAAACTCTATATGTTGTAAAGCTGAATACGCCAAGGGCAAGACGTTAGCCAGGTCAGTGTCTCCTTTAGCAGGATTCATAAATCTCCTCGATGCTGCATCCTTCAGTGCAGCATTCATGATGCAAACCTCGCTTTTCGATACCACGTCCGAACAAGAATGTGCTGGCGTCCTTTGAATCCAGAAACTCTGCATCACAGGTGACGAGAGAACAAAAGTGGCATGATGATTTTGTTTTCACCAAAATAAATCTGTCCATTTGTATGTTACCATCAGCGCTCCCCACCTTAAAAAAACGACTCTTACACAAATCAACAGAGTGGGGAGAAACAGGAGGCCTCTTGACATAAAGAAAACGTCCCTCTGCAGCCTTCCTTTGCATGGCGTGTACAGTCTTCAGATGGAGACATGCATATATCAAGGGGATCAAGGTGGGACCCCCCAAAAAATTATGGGGAAGAAAAAAAGCGAAACATAAAGGGGAACCAAAAAGGGAAAGAATTGGATGAAAACTAAAACTTTTCTTGATTTCAGTTCTCAGTTTCTGCAATCTCTGGAGAGAATGCGTCTTTATGGCAGCATCGGTTAAAAGTACTTTGCTTTCATGTTCTTAGATTATGAAATCTCTTCTTTTGGAAAACCCTTTCTAAAAAAAAGGCAGGGGCAGTTTCAATACTCAAATTCTATTAGCTTTTTTTTTTTTTTTTGCTCGACAAAAGGTTAGTGAGATACAGAGGTGTAATCAGGCAAGAGAGAAAGCAAACGTTCCCACAGGGCCTAGTTGGCCCTTGCCTCGCTTGGCTACGTCTGGCACTGGCGGGAGACAGTATATTTCAAGTTGATTTTGACTTCACTACCTTGGTTGGAGACTCCACGGACGGCATGGCAAGTCTCACGTACTTTCTCGTAAAGAGTCGCACCGCAATAATTGGCACGGTAAGCCCTGCATAAAATACGTCCAAAATAGCCATTATAACACCTTCCGTAACGTAAAGGTTCTGTGCTTACCAATGTCATACACTGCTGACCAAAATGCGCTCTACAGTTAACAAAATAGCAGCTAGCACCAGTCTGAACAAGGATTACGTCATTGTCTTCTACGCTACATTGCACTAGGTTCAGGAGGGGCTGTGGCAATTTTGAAATGTATTTACGTTAAAGAAGCTAAGTCAGTTCCTAAATATTGAGTGGGTTGTGTAGCCAAGGGAATGTAGGGTCCAAGCGCATTTACATTTTAAACTGCTGAAACGATTGTTAATCTGACTTTTAATGCAATAAGACACGAACAAGATTGCTGCTGTTCTAATGCACGTGTCATGTTAGATCAAATTAATTCTACACATGTAGTTGGTACTGCTTAATGACACAGCCTAACACTATGTGCGTGAACTATATGTATGGTTTGCTGAGGACGAAGCATTAAACAATAGTGCTTGATTGTTAAAGCATTTCAGTAAACTAATAAAGACATTACATAATTTAAACCCTTAAAAACATAATCTGTTTGCCCAATTGTCAAAAGTAGATATAAACATTGATTACTTTTCCCAATCTAATTTGGTGTCACAATGTTGAAGGGTATCTTTTATTCAAAGAAGCGAAATGTTCCATGGGAAATTAGGGGGTATGAGAACCATTTTGTTAGAAACCATTCAAGCACATTCAAAATATAAAACTGCCAAAAAAGAGCAGTGAATGTAAACTTCTTGAAAAACCTGATAAGTGTAGCTCAAGGGCTATCGTACGCTCTTCAGTGAACCTCCGGGTTGACAAATGAATTACCCAAAATAGCGAAGTAATTTTCTTATCAAATTCAAAATTGTCAAATTCGATTGTATATTCATTTTGGGGTGTTGATTTTGTTGTTATTACCAAAACAAGATTTCCGAGTGAACACATTTAAACTATTTTCTATTTTTCTTGCAGATCACCACTGGCAATATAAAGCCATCGTAGTTAGGTAGATGGTCCAGTTCTTGTTGGCTTGTAGAGTGATAAAGGCAGAAACAGTCATTTGACAGTGGCCCGTGAACATGGATAGGGAAAAGCCAACAAAATAGCGAGTCCATGAAGTGTGTATATATACTAATAATTGGGAGGACTTTTGTGGAAAGGTATTTACTTCATTCGTGAATCCGATAACAATAAAGCTTATATAATGACCCTTGCTATATGTTCGAGTAATCATCAGATTCCAATGCCCCTGCGGTCTTAAACATAGTTGCAGAAGCAAATGTTTGTTCCTTATTAATGTACGAAAGAGGTACGAATGTCTTCCTAAATATTTATTCTAACAGATAACTTTACTTACAAATTCCCTCCATGTTTAGCATCTGCGTCCGGGTGGCCATTGATTTGTTGTACTATAAAGAAAAGAACAGAAAAAATGTTAAAGGAAAATGAGGTAAAAGTCACAAAGAATTCTTCTACCGGGCCAACGTTGAATTTGTAAGAACACAAACGTACCAACCTTATAACATACAATTTCAGAAACAAAAATCTAAGAAAATTTCATCTGATTTTTCCCAGATATGGATTTTTATTGTTCTGGTAAAATGTTTCGCTTGTCCCTGACGCAATATTATAGATGAGTTAAAACCCAAATGGGTGCGCTTATGGCAGTGGCGTAGCTAGGATTTTACGAGTGGGGGGCACAAGTATCTTTCGGGGCACCAGCTTTCAGTGATGTCGTTTTGGGGGGCAAACGTTTGTTATCAAACCCTATTCAGTATCCATTTAACCTGTTTTTTTTTTGGTTTTTTTTGGGTTTTTTTATTGGATCACCAGCTTTCAGTGATGTCGTTTTGGGGGCAAGCTTTTGTTATTAAACCCTATTCAGTATCCATTTAACCTTTTTTCTTTTTTTTATTGGGGGCACCTGGGCGGCACGTGTGGCTGCGTGGAGGGGGGGTTCCCCCAGGTCCATCCCTGTGACTGCGCCCCTGGTTTATGGATGGATAGATGGCTGAGTTATTACCGCTTAAACTTCCTGATCCCCGCAACACCAATACTTGACGAATTCATCAACCAAAAACCGTGAAACAGAAAAAAAATTCAGAAATTTTCAGCTGGTTACCCAAGAGACTTAGATTTCTTTTGATGCATCAGTCATCTCCATTTTTGTATTCATTTCAGGTTCATTCGGTTGAGCGCCAAAGTGAATAAGAATGAAGTGAATTTATCCATGTTATATAAGAGTACCGGTCGAGTGGTCAAGAGAGGGTATATACAAATTTTGTCTGGTATGTTTGAGGCCTTCACGCTTGCACGCCCCTGTGACCTCCATCCCAAATTGCGTTGATTTTAAGGATCTGTTCAACCTTGTTGTTTGCCAGCCTGACTGCAGTTGGTTCGCTTAGGTCAGGCATACGTTTCCTTTTTTCACCTTGGGTTTTTGGGTTTTTCGTTTCTGGCAACCAACAGTACAATGAGTTCGTTCACTGTCAATTATTTACAGTACGATTGGGACCGATACTATCCTTACAATGTTAAGATGATTAATAGATCTGGCTTTGTTAAAGGAGTTAATATGGTAGTTGAGTGATCTGTAATAAAGACATCCAAGGCACAGCGTCAAGTAACGTTACCAAAATACTGTATGTGTCGAGTTCAGTGTATCGTGTTTAAAGGATAACTCGTACAGGATTGATAAAATTTACCCAGTAAAATCTGAAGTAACTTACTTGCTTTCAGGTTTGCCTAAGTATGTCACTAATGTTTACTGCCGCCCTTGTTGTATGTACATATGTGCATATCCGCAACAAAAATGAACATTCATTAACTGCTCCCCAGTTGTACCCAGTGAGTGGGACTGTACGGAATGTGAGGAAGGTCTCATCACGTGACCAGCTCCCTGCTGAATGTGAATCTCAGAATGTGTACGCATTCTCTGAATGTCGAACATACACGTGATTTTTTCGATTGTTCACGGGGTGTACGCACGAGGGTCGGAAGATACCTAGCCTGTGCGGTGCATTGCATGCGCTATGTCGTGGGTGCAGGCGAACATGGGTGTAAAGGTTTACATTATCGTCGTTTGTTTGCTCAGGGACCCATTGAGCAGATTAGAGCATGGAGGAAGGACACAGGAGGAGTTGTAACTCAGGCACTTCAAAGCGTCCAATGATGGTCGCCGCCGAGTCTGACGAATAATAGAAAACATTCCAAAAATGCCTTATTGCTGCCTGCATCTTAGCCAGACAAGCGGGGCCAGTAATATCCTGGCAATACTTTTAATTTTTTGCTTGCAATTAAATACAAACTATCGATGTGACCAGGATATAGAGAGAGAAAAATTCCTGATATTAGACCTACTTTTGCCATCTTAAATAAACTTTTTATATTTTGACACACTGTTTCATTATCCATGCAAAGTTTGTAATTCTAGCCTCCTCCATCCAATACATCAGTGTTCAAAGACTAGGTACGAATTTGGCTAAGACTGGCCATCAAAATCTTCACTACTTCTGGAAAGCCTAGTTCATTAGGAACAAAATGCGCTCTTTCATCACAGGGAGTGATCGTGAAATCTCAAAAAATACGCCTTTGTACAAATGCCATAATAGAAATGATTCAAACAAAACACAAAATCTTACAAACAGCTTGGCTATTAATTCCAAAAATAAGTCCAGAAGAATGCGTTCGATAAGGGCAACAACTGCACATGAACACTTCGGGTACACAGCCTAGTAAAAGCAGCAACGCAAGCACTAAATTTGATGTTGTCGGATCATATCAAGCACCAACGATGGCATGAATATTCAACTTCCTATGCTGCAGTACACAACGTTTTAGGGATGCAGATTACCAACGAAAAATTGCGGCGACGATCATATGGTATAAAGAGGGCTTATGGTTGCAAAACAGGTGGTGCGTAGCAGGCGTGCACTGCGCTCTGGCTATGGACATACCGGGTATGCCAGAAAGCGGTATTTGGCCAGATGTTATAGCCCGGAAAGTTCAAACTCCTTCTGTGTTTCCTATCTCCATGATTAGAGCAAGGTCAGCATTTGGAAGACTGCATCACAGAACACTAACATACGATTAATTGACGTATAACCACAAAATCGAAACGACACCAATGATCCAATGAGTCTACACAACGATCAACTCACCTGCAATGGCGCAAAGCAGCAGCAAAACGATGAATCGATTCATGATGATGGTGGTTCTTGCAAGCTGTTGAACTAACGGTGTTAACTACGAAGGTTGCACTAGAAGCAGCAGTACACGCCAAGCCTCAGTATGCCAAAGTGAGGCAAGATCGTGTCCTTATAAGCAATGAGGGCCAAATACAAAGTCATCTAGGTCGAAATAAATGTACCAGGAAAAATCTTTGCCCCATTTCAAGAGGACACTTGAATGACAGTTTTGTCCAATTGCATCCAAATCATCATAAATGAACAGTTTCGAATCAAACGAGGTATCCCCCTTCTTTTCATTTTATTTCCGGCTTTCAATTACCGTTACATCGAAAGGCAATTGTGGCCCTGACCAATATTGAATTTTCGATGTCATAGTCAAAGTCAAGAACGTTCAACACCAATACTGTGTTTACTGTAAAAAAATACCAGCAGAACTAAATGTGCCACTTAATTGAAAAAGAATTTGTCAAACATAGCTTAGTTACTATTTACTTGAATTTGTTCAAATATAATTATACTTCAGTGATGAAGTTGGGCAAGTTTTTGCCAGTTTAAAATTCATAACAAAATACACAAATAAGTAAAAATAACAATCACTGTCACGTGACTTGTCACATGATGTCAATTTTCATCTATAACATCTATATCTTATATAGATGGTGTAGAGCAAAGGGCCGATCTAGACATACATGTAGTAAAACCTCATGTTACTCGCGCGTAATCGTTTACACTCCACAGAGAATGAACATTGTTGCGAGCTTTCTGTCTGCACGTAGCCTTGTCCAAGGCGTTTTTTTCCCGGAGAGATCATTTAGCCTCACGCACGGGATCCACACGGCAAAAAAGCCACCCGTGTGTATGGACGTGCGTGTCATCCATATACTGTACATGTACATGTACGACATGTAGCATGTGGAGTAGACAAACTGGCTTCAGAGCACGTACAGTGTAAACGATTACGCGTGTGCGTGACATGGGGTTTTTATTATGTCAATATCGACCCTTTGCTCAACACCATCTGGATTAGCTACATAAAAGGGGGTGTTCCTTCCACTGCCATTCTTTGCAACTTGCATTTTCTCTTTAATACTAAAGAAAAAGAAGCATGAGTTGATGATGGAGTGACGCAAATTGTCAGCGGTCAAATCCATAGGCTCACGTACCAACAACGGGGGAAGGAGGATTTTAAGGTATGGCACTCAGATAATTTTCAAATGCACGATTGTTTGCCCTATTCTGCAAATTGAGCATATATTTAGGATCACTTGGCCGTTTTGACAACCAATAATTAAAGTAAATCTGTCAGGTGAAGGGGGAAATTGCAACTCCTCGACAACCCTATAACAGGTGTTAAAGAGTGGCAAAATACAATATTTTTAAACTCATGTATTCTTGCTGGAACAACATCTTGAAGAAATAATTTCCCCAAAAAATCCTTTAAGAATAGTGATGTCATGATGACGTCATCTGAAGCAACGTGACATGCCGCAAAGCCAAAATTTCAGGAACAATAAGCTCGACGGGGATGCGACTTGGCATGAACCCAAAAACCATTGTGTCGTCAAAAAAAACTTCGGTTCATGTCACGAGAGGATCCAAGAACGATATCGTCACTGACGTCACCAGGTGTTTCGTGACATGACATCATAGGTGCACACTTCACATTCCTTATATTCTGTAGTCCAGGTCTGACTGGGTCAAAACATTGCAGGTATCTAGAAAGGGAAGTGTTTTAGACGAAAATTGACCTATGAAGATGATGTCATCTGGTAACATGTCATGGGAAAAATGTATCCTTCACTGCAGTATGTCTTCTCAATGTATTTTATTAGAAATTTTCAACGTTTTACATTGTTCTTTGGGAAGTATGATTTCTAATGGTTTTGGAAACCCCCCCAAAACAACTCAGCGATTTTCCACCACAATTGCAAAACCTCTAGTTTAAATTTAAATAAATGTAAACACAAAATAAATTAACTGCCAAAAGTGTCAAACTTCATCACTGAAGTATAATTATTTTTGAATGAATTTAAGTACATAGTAACTAAGTTGTGTTTGACTAATTCGTTGTCGAGTAAGGGGCACATTTAGTTCTGCTGGTATTTTAACCGAGGTAAACACAGCGTTGGTGTTGAACATTCGTAACTTTGACTATGACACCGAAAATTCAATATTGGTCAGGGCCACAATTGCTTTTTGATAAAATGGTAGTTGAAGGCTGGATATCAAATGAAAAGAGGGTGTTTCCACCGTTTGGTTCGAGACTGTGCAGAGTTATACTTTTGTTTTGATAGAGTAGAAATTCAAATTTATGATAACTTGGATGCAATTGGGCAAAACTGTCATTCAAGAATACTCTTGAAATGGGGCAAAGATTTTCCTGGTACATTTATTTTGACCTAGATAACTCTGTATTTGGCCCTAATTGCTTATAAAGACACAATCTTGCCTCTCTTTGGCATACTGAGGCTTGGCGTGTACTGCTGCTTCTAGTGCAACCTTTGTCGTTAATACCGTTAGTTCAACAGCTTGCAAGAACCACCATCATCATGAATCGATTCATCGTTTTGCTGCTGCTTTGCGCCATTGCAGGTGAGTTGATCATTGTGTAGACTCATTGGCTCATTGGTGTCGTTTCAATTTTGTGGTTAAACGTTAATTAACCGTATGTTAGTGTTCTGTGATGCAGTTTTACGAATGCTGACCTTTGCTCTAAGCTGCTCAATGGGTCCCTGATCGAACAAACGACGATAATGTATACCTTTACACCCATGTTCGCCTGCACCCACGACAAAGCGCATGCAATGCACGTCACAGGCTAGGTATCTTCCTACCCTAGTGCGTACTCCCCGTGAACAATCGAAAAATAACGTGTATGTTCGACATTCCGGACAATCCCACTCACTGGGTACAACTGGGTAGCAGTTAATGAAAGTTCGTTTTTGTT